GTAAATGTTTGTTATAAACATCTTTTAAAAGATTGCTTATGTCTTTTATAAGTGATCAAAACATTTCAAAAACTCTTTTAAAGTTATGTTACTTCATAGTTTAACAAAACTCCGTTTTTAAAGTACAAGCATAACTTAGTAGATAAATGAGTCTTCTCAATAACAGTTCAAGTAAAACATTAGTAAACTATAGTAGGTATAGTTTAGAGATTCAGTTCATACTAGATACAATACACGATAACAGAACGAACATACTATATGAGAAACAGAATGAACATACTATATGAGAAACAGAACGAACATAATAAGTTGCTATAGCATGAAACTACTACAGGATCTAATTATACCAATGAATCACTAACTCATTGTTCTAAACAAAAGGTGATAGTTATATTGGGTATACATGATTATATAACTTTAATGTGAATTACACGGCGTAGCAACTGGTTTGCTAAAAAGTCGTGTTTGGTTCCCTTAATCTCTAGATAGGGAGAGCGTATAGTAGGGGTACTAGCCTTCACATTATGACCAGTATAAAACAAACATGTTTTAAGGTCATCAGTACATCCGTATTTCATTTTAAACGACAATTGTGTACTTACATTTCCCATTACTTTCATAAAGTGACAGTACCACTTGAAAGTCAAATGCAAACTATTTTCTAGTTAAGATAGTTATAAACTAGGGAAAACTTACATTTTTTACAAACGACAAACAGAACAGTCGAGTTTAGTACATTCAGTAGAAAGGGACCATAATGCTAACCTTATGATTCCTTAATGTATACATCAAAGGATATATATATATATATATATATATATATATATATATATATATATATATATATATCAATAGGATCCGACAGATAATAGGATGTGTGCTCTATGCTTCACTTCCTGTTCCTAGTTTGGTTGTGGGCTTGGAATGGATTCACCCAGTCTATTATCCATTTGATTATATATATATATATATATATATATATATATATATATATATATATATACACACACACACATTAAGTCATCATAAGGGTACCAGGTATGGGTCAAGACACAAAGTCAATGCACCGTTTTCTAGTACAAAACATACTTTTTAAATCAGAACTTTTGGTATACAAAACTAGAAACTTACCAGTAAAGGGTTTAATCCATTTTATTAAACCAGTGCAAACTTAAAGGACCTTAGGTGATTAACTCTATAACACCTTAGTTTATACATCATGGTTATATATCATTAATACCGAATAGGTAGTTGGATGTGTGCTTTCTGCCTTACTTCATGTTCCTTGTTTGGTTGTTGGCTTAGGGCAGATTCACCCAATTAACTATCTATTCGATATTAGATTATATATAGCCAGTATAAACTAAGCGATTATAGAAGTAATCACTGTGGTCACCATTTTATTATAAGACATAAGGGTTTTTTTAAAGAATCTTTTCATTAAATATAAATGAACTATTACAATCAACTCCATGAGTAACAAGTGAATACGCCAGGTTTATATACAACAATGATCTAACAGACAATGGGATGTGTGCTATCTGCCTTACCTCATGTTCCTTGTTTGGTTGTGGGCTTAGGGCAGATGTGCACAATCGATTGTTTGTTTACTTTGAGTTTTATATAACTTGTATCCATTTAGTACTCATAGAAAGGATTGTAGAATCATTTTTACGTATCTTTCATCAAAGTAGGAAATATAGGATTTTCTAAAGGAACAGGTGAACTTTTCTAAACAGAACTTACAACTTACTACATTTTTCAACTACATTTTACAATAAGATTTTACAACAACTTTCTACAACTTACTTACATCAATAAAATCTTATGAACTCATCAGCTTAATTGTTGATCAACTCTCTCAAATAACATGTATTCTCAGGAGACTAGTAGACAGGTACTTGCGCTGGGAATTCAAAAGATGAAGCATAGTAGCTTCAAGTCTTGTTTTGTTATTTGATTATGTATTCTATGTTTTGTGAACACACACATTGTAAACATTTTCTTTCTAATGAAATGGTTGTTCATTACTTTTCTTACTATGATGCATGTCTTGTGATACTAAACATGACGTCCTCCACCCCCGAACGTTTCCGCCGTTCCAGTTTTGGGGTGTGACACTTCATGTTGTAATGCCTTCCTAATCGGAACTCAAAACTTGGAACTCAGATTGCGAGATTGAAACTTGAAAAAAATCAAACTCTGAGAGCAGCTGATGATCGATTGAATACCTAAAATTAGAGAGATCGAGAGAAAAGAAATCAAATATCTATTTGATTTAGAATGCGAAATTAAGATAGAAATCATATATTGATTTACTGATTTAGAACATGACTCATCGATCTCCACATATCTCTCAATTACCGAGTTTGATGCTTGCAAATCTCAAGAACTTTGACTATTTTGCGGACGCAAATTACGCCCCCAGTAGGTTTTTTTCTTCTTGGACACCACTCACAGATGGAACGGACTTAATACTAAGCCAACATAATATATATATAATAATACATATTGTATGAAAATAATGCCCCCAAAATTTTTATGCCATGGGCCTTGGCCCAACTTGCCCATATATTGGGCCGACCCTGTCTAAATGAATTGTAGTAGACTGAAATACGAACGTATGAATATAAGGATCGTTAAAGTTTTATAAAATATAAAGAAGTTACGACATTCAAAAGACAAGACCTAAACACTAAGCAATCGAGGTTGCAGTGATCATAAGCTTGAATAATCCCGAACACTTCATTAACGATTGTCCCATGTAGGATTTAATGAGAAAAACCTAAAGAAGTAGTTCACAAATATTGAACGTGTATAAAAACAACAATGACTTATTTTACAATATATATATATATATATATATATATATATATATATATATATATATATATATATATGTTTAGGTTATTTTGTTTTTACTAAGTATTGTGTGTCAGAATGCACAGATCTGGACCAGCGGATGAAATTAATCAATGGACATGATTTGAGAGTGTATGATATTACAATGGGGTAACATGTACCATATAATCACTCAATTTTTAGCAAAAGGGTATTTTGGACAACTAACTACATCTATAAAAGGAATTTTTCGGATTTTTAAGGATGATTAATTCTCCTAATTTAAAAAAATCTGAATTTTTTTAATTAATTCAATTTCAATTTTTACCGATTTTATTCTATCAGAATATTTTTTGTTAGAATGATACTCTTTCAGAATTTTATTCTAACAGAATATTATTGAAGAAAAACACAATTCTTGAATTAGATGTTGAAAAATAACAAATATTCTAATATATTCTTATACATATGAACTTAAATACAAATTCATACATACTCTTATAGACTAAAAGTCTTATACATTATAATATAGTTATAAATATTCTAAAAGAATATCAACAAAAATGAATAACATTCTTAAAAAATAACAACATTATGCTAGAATACTCTCTTTCTCCATGTTTTCTTCTTGAATTCTGAAAGAATATTGCTGTTTTTGGATGTTAAATCCTGAAATTCTGAAAGAATATTGTTGTTTTTCTTCATTCTTTCAGAATGAAATATCACATATCTTTTTTTCATAAGTTTCCTCATCATTCCTGCATCATCCTAACATACTGAATCATGAATATTTGAAAGAAACACATGTTCCTGCTTACATCACCACAAAAAATACACACCAATTTTTAGTTTTTGTTTTCTTCTTATTATCTACAAACCTCAGAAGTTTTTTGTTTTTTATATAATTTTACTCAATTCAAATGACTTAGAAAAACAAAATAACTAAAGCCAATATATGCAAAATAAGATTCTAGCATAAATTGACTTTCATATTCAAAATCACTACAGTAAAACATAGAAGAACAAGTATAATAGCAATAATATTCAAACTAAAAATCAACCATCGATTTGAAATGCTTTTTGATCCCAATTTGAATCAGCTTTTACTTTTAGAATTTAGATTGATCGTGTCTCAAGTCTTAAATCGATTACAAGAACTCTATTGAGAATTGTAACCTTAACAGAAGAACATCTTAACTTGTAAACATTGGTACATAACAATAACAATGGCTACAATCTCGAAAGGGGAATCTCTTAAAATGGTATGTATAATCATCAATTTCTAGGGTATATACTTAATTACTCTACACAATTACTTATCTTAGATTTCATGAAATTAAAAGATTGAAGAAGACAGACCTTTAATTTGATTTACATAAACTCACTCCTCAATTAATCAGCGTGGATTCAGACCCAGAAGAATCTCTTCATCAGTGAGAGAATGGTGGAAGTGACAACGATGACCATAAGGGAAGATGTCGCCGGTGATCATCATTGTTTTGGTTAGAAAAAATGGGGTTGCGGTGGTAAAGAGGGTGGCGTGAAGAGCTTGTTCTGTATGAGATGAAGAGGGAGCATAAAACCCTAATCTGGTGGGGGTGAGGTTTTGAAACTGATATCCTAATTTAAAAGGGGATATTATTTAATTTTATTAATTCACCATAAATAATTATAGTGTAGATTACTATTATACCTTATATTTATTATTAATAATTTATTTTTTCCTAAATTCATATTGGTGCATTCATGCACACAATAGTTGCTGAAAACATTTAAACCTAGGTCTCTCTCTTTCTTTATATATATATATATATATATATATATATATATATATATATATATATATATATATATAAGGACAAAATATACACAAAAATATTAAGGACTAAATGTGTACAAAGTGAGAAATACATTACCATATGAAGTTATTTTTTTTCGATTTACCTGAAATAGCCAATTATAAAAACAGAATGTATATATAATTAAACAAGTTGAAGGGAAAAATATAGAAAAAATCTCAATGACCAAATATTTATACATCAAAATAATATATATATATATATATATATATATATATATATATATATATATATATATATATATATATATATATATATATAACCTTTTAGTAATTATCTCTAGAATTTCCTTTGTTTTATTTTGATTTCCTATCATGACAATATATCATGTCAACTTTTGTTATCTTAAATGATCCGTACAACCTTGCCAAAAGCTTTCGAAACAAGTCAAGCAATATCGTGATGCTTTAAAATCAACTCGTTTGAAAGACCGGAGGCGGGATGAAACAAAACCCTCTTCCTTCCCACGTTCCCACGCACACACAAACCACTCCACCGTAATCCGCCATGGATTCAGCCAGACACACCTGTTTGAAACTCCAAATCCCCCAAAACCCTCATCCATTCTTCATCAAAGGCACCTGGTTTCCTTCTCACTTCAATCTCTCCATAACCGATGGCCTTGACGCTTGGACTTGCAACGGTATCAATAACTCACTCCGATCTTATTAAAGTAACATCATTGATCTCAACTTTTCTTCGAAATTTATTGTTATTTTGCAGCATCCGAAGAGGAAGTGAAGGAGAGAGCTTCTAATTGGGACCAACCGACATCGGAGTACATCGATTTGTCGGAGCGCTACCTAGGGTTTCAACAGCCTGATTCGATTTACGGGTTTGCTGATGCTGCTGGAGGCAATAAAAGAGTAAGAGCTCTTAAATCAGTCATACCTTTTTGTTCTAATTACCTTTGCACGAACTTTTCATACGTTTTTCCTTTCAATTACTGGATTCTTTGTTTTCTGAATTTGCTTTGTATCCATAAAAATGAAAATTTGAAGTTCTAGAGATCAATTATCAGGGAGTTCTTATACTGGTAGCGAACGATCCATTATGTAATTGTTTTTGTGGTTTTTCTCCCAATTTTCTTTTCCAAAATTTTAGTTTGATCCGTATGACTTCAAAAGGACATGAAGGTTCAAAGTTGTTGAATCTTCCTCTTTTGATATGTCATATCCTTTTGGTGCTAAATCCTTTCCAGTTATCATGGACATTCAAGAAAGAAGGTACAAAGCTAGAGTGGCGATGGAAGTTTAAACCAGCTGAAGATAGCAAGAAGATAACTGCAGGAATACTCGACTTCTTGATGGATGCTAACATACGCCTAAGTGTAAGATAGTCCAATTTTCATTTCAATTCATATCTCAAACTTGTCTACTATTCTCTTATTATTACATGATAACTGCTGTTTTCATAAAATAGGAGGAAGTTGTGATGAAAACAAAGTCAAATGAGAAACTGAAAACAGAAGCTGAAAAATGTTTAGCACAAAGTGAGAAGTTTCAGAATGAGAAAGCAGAGTTCGAAACCACAATTTATTCTAAGGTATTACTATTAACACTATAAAGACTTATTTTTTACCCAAAACTACGTCGTTTTGAGTATCTTAACGTTATGTAATGCAGTTGTAATGATAAAATTGTTTTGGTTGGTTTGAATGGTGTAGTTTCTTGGTGTATTGAACTCAAAGAAAGCAAAATTAAGAGAGATGAGAGAGAAAATGTCAAATCAGGAAATGAATGTTAAATCAGAAGAAGAAGAAGAAGAGCATGAGGGAGAATCCAGTGATAGAACAGAGACTTTTGAGGGTGATAGTGAAGATGATGACGTGGAGGAAGACACTGCCACGAATGTCACCAGCACTTCAGAAAACAAGCCACGTGGTAGAAAGAGAAAGTAAAATACATCAATTTAAGATAGATGTAAATATTTGACATCATCATCTCAATGTTCTTCACCAAAAAATTTCAACTTAAAAGAACGAAATGCCACTAATGTGATCTAATAATTTTAGTATGATCAAAAGCACCCATCAAAAAAAGTAAGAAATTCTCACAGATTTAGATATTGTTTGACAAACTAGTTTATGAATTAATAAGGTTTGGTAAAAATAGTTTATAACTTAGGTTGCAATGTAAATGATAAATAGACATTTAGATATATGATTAAAAGAAAAAAAATAGATATAACTGAAAGTATATTTGAAATAAGCTCTATCTCAAACTAATTTATAATCTAGTTTATAAGCTATTTTTATAGTTTTATCAAACGACAAGCAGTTTGTTTTCATAAAGTGGTGTTTTTTGGGCTACTTAAAAAAATCGAATTTCATTCATATAAAAAGATAAACAATTATTTTTTGGATTGTTAACAAACGTTAAGTGTAACGTTTTTAGTATGATTCTAAGTTAAATTTAATTATTTGTTCATAACTATTTAAGTAACAGAGTAAACTTAATTTTATAGTAGACTACGGTTGGTGTGCTTCTGTTATATGTATCTCTGTTGGATATTTGAAAAGTTTTTAACTTTTAGTTTAAGAAAAAACTTTGGACTAAACAAATTATTTTGATTAGGAGTACGGGTTTATACTTTTTATTTTAAATATAAACAAATAATCTAAAAAATATTTTAAGTAGTTTTTTACTCTTTAAGTGCGTTTTTTTTTTTTTTTCAATACATATTCCAATAGCTTATAATTACTTATGCCGAACAATCCACAAAATAATATTTATAACTTTCAGCTTCAAGCAACTTTTAATATACAAGACATACACATAATTTATTCTTAAGAAAGACGGAAAAAAGAGATATAGTGATGTTGAGTGATAGATATATCTCAATTGTAACCACATGGTAGTGATGTTACACACACCATATTTATGGTTAGTGATACATCATAAATTTAGTGGTAGGTACTTCTTGTATAATTTTATTTTTGTTTTGATATATAATTCTCCTGGTGTAAATATGTTTTTTAATTATGTAAAATGACCAATTCACTTTTTATTTTATATTTATAATGGCTTGTTATTACCAATATTATCTTATTACCCCCATCTAAATCCAAACCCATACCCATGCCCATACTTCTCCTCAAACCCCTTCTCATCCCTACCATCACCATTAATTGTGCTGTCTATTGGGATTTGAGGTATTGCTGGTTTGTTTTGGAGTATTGGTGTTGCTAATTACTAAGATGTTGATTTTTTTTTTCTACGAGCCGAATTAATGAAAAAGAAATTAAATATCTCACTCATTCATCATTCATGTTGTTAATGTAATCGTTTCAGTTATCAGATAAGATACTTATCAAGTGAGATTGATTTTGCTTGTAACTTGTCATATTGTATATAACTTGAAAGTTTTTTTTGAACAACTACTCACACCCGATTATTAATACCCGTTCGTTGAATGGTTTGACCAATAAATGAATTATTATTGATTGTTTATATTATGTCAGTGTCTATACATCTATATAAATGATAATACATTAAAAGTTTACAACTTTTTTAATATCAATTTTTACGATTTTGGTTCTCTTTTTTTATTAAGTGTGATTTTCTACGAAATCAATTTTACAAAATTTTTCAATATTTTGTTATAACTTTGATGTTTTAGGTATATAAAAATTAGTTTGTTTAATTGAATGACTTCTTTAGTATATTCTTTGCAACATATTTGTTTTTTACATGTTTTTTGAAATTTTCTTACGTTCTTACAAATTGACATCCCGCTTTTTATTTATTATTTTTATGTTGAAATATTGATTTTGTAATCAAAACACCCATATATCATATTTGGTTTCCAAGTATAAATAACAACGAATGCAATTTTTTAAAATTATCATTTGCCTATTACACGTATATAAACTTTCCGCTACATCACACTACATCACGCACGGGGCAAACCAACTGGTTTAAACAACTTTCAAATTTTATTGGGATAATCTTAAAAGAGAGGGTAATATATTTTTCGTTTTTTACATATTTGGTCACTGATGACGTGTCATTGGCACGAACGAAGAGCCGCGCTTAGACGCACCAAAGAATTCCCCAAGACACACCGTGCCTAGCAAAACGAATCTGATGGAATGTAGCGCCTGCTAGCGCCCCTAAAAGCAGGGCGCCCCCAGAGAAGGCCCGACCACCCCAAGGGCGCCTTCCGCTCTGCAACAAAAGCGTAACGACTCTAGGCGACAAGTCAGATGCTCAGAGCATTACCACCTGAACCAATCATTGGCTCTGACAGATTAAGGAGCACGATTATCCAATCAGCGTCCCTGATCCTATCGGGTCTGACGTCCTTGTCCTGTACGAACTAGCAGAAAGATTCAGTATAAAAGGTCATCCTTGGTGCCTTGGAAAGTAAGTCGCTCTCTTAAATTCTCCCAAGAATATACCCAAGTCTATCAACTGACTTAACCATCAGATTGTTTTCCCGGGAGCCTCCTCCAGGAAAACGGTTGATGGTTTCTTCTCATTATGACCTTGTAGGCTCATCAGAATCATCCCAGACATATGCGCGTGGACATCCGGTGACCATGTCACATCATTTGGCGTCATCTGCAATGTGACGAACAACAAACCAAAAGCACACTCATCAGCGTTTGAAGATGGCATCCGGCAACACCGGCGGAACCGATGGGACACCTGTAAGCCCCATCAGACCTATGATGTTGGAACCAGCTATCGCCCAGTTCTCACACCAGTCACCGATGAAACATCACAGCAGGACAACTCGTCGATAACCACTACTCCAACAAACGAATTATGGCAGCCGACCGTCAAGGAACCAATTTCCTCCACCGCCACAATAGCACAAAGCACCTCCATGCAAACACCATAGCTGACGGTGATCTCAAGAAGTACACCACCATTAACGGTGGACAATGTCAACGTCTCAGCGGCACACCCGTCTTCTCGCAAACACCACCGCTATACCAAATGGTGGGAGAACAACCAACAGTTTTTCAAACGCCACCGTTGAACCAGATGGTGAGAGAACAAACAATGGCTTTCCAAACACCTTCGTTTGTGGCATATATGCCTTTCAATATCGCAATCCCACACCATCATCCATTCATATCCAACATCACTCGTGTAAAACCCACCTCTTTTGTCCACCCAAACGCTAACCTTCCCGTTTTAACAACAAACATTCTACGGACCAAACCCCGGCCACCTCCCGGCATACAACAACATGCTAATGCAACCTTACTTCACCAGCCAGCAATATAACCCACATGGTGACTTCCCCATCCCAAACCAAGATTGTCTATCACGAAGTGTAACATCCCCATTCGCCAAATAGCTCTTAGACTATGAAATTCCAAACACAGCAAAGTTGCCACACCTCAAGACTTACAATGAAATCACAGATGTGGACAGCCATATTAATACTTAAGAGTGGACGATGACCTCGCTCAAACTAGACAAGCATTTCTGGTGTACGTATTTCCTGACAACCTTAGACGGTAAAGCAGGAACATGGTTCAAGACGTTGTGACTAGGGAGCATCTACGATTTCGGCCAACTAAAGTATCTCTTCCTAACGAATTTCATGAAACTGTGTGCATACAAGGGATATTCACACTCGACATTTAGAAGGAAGGAAAGATAGTGCGAGAATACTTCACCTGGTTTACTAATGCCACATTATACGTCCCAGGACACGACAAAGGGCTAATAGCATACGCCTTCACATAGGGCCTCCTCCCGGGGATGATGTACTCGAAACTCATGGGAAAGAAACCCATGAGCTAAAAGAGAGAGTCGAACGCTACCTGAGACAATAGGAGGGGGAAGCAACGAAGCAAGCATACTTGAACATCATGACCGCCTCAACCACAAAGCTCCACAACTCACCATCTCACCACCCAGAAACCTTGGGTGGGGGCAGACACTTCGGGCAAGGAAAGCAACCGCAAGGATGCTTTAGGCCATTCCAAAGAGACGAAAAAAGAGGCAAGCGACCAGACGTTGATATAGTCTCTGAAAAGCAACCGGTGAAGGGAGGAAAAGGACGGTACTATGAGTACCATAAGAGCAAGATGCATGATACCGTTAACTGTTCGGTGTTAAAAATGGAAATGGAAGAAAAAAAACTGAAAGGGAACCTCGTGGAGGTGGCACGAAGACTTCGTGCTAAGTTTGATGCTGAGAATGCAAAGCATGCAATCAGGGAGCGTGACCAACCTTGCGAAATCTTAATGATATGCTCAAAGAGGGAAAAGCAGGAGGAACATGATGGTGTAGACAACCTCACCAGATCCATGCAAGGTTTGACGTTTTCAGCGAAAGACCCTCAGTCGACAGGCTGGCGAGGAGACGACCTACTAATAATTCAAGGGTCCATCAAAGATATTACTATTCACTGGGTATACATCGATACTGGCAGGTCAGGGGACATTATCTATGAGCATTGTTTATGTCTCCTGTCAAACAAGTGGAAGGAGAGCCTCAAACCTGCAACAGGGCGGTTAACAGGCTTCACAGGGCACAACCTGTGGCCCCTAGGTACGATCCACCTGCCCTTCATGCTGATCAGCCACGACAAAGTGAAGAAGAATATAACCCTTATAGATTTTGTTGTGATAAGGCACCCAACAGAATATAACATCATCCTAGGACGGACGACCCTACTCAAATTCGGCACAATCCCATCGACAATGCATGGAGTAATAAAATTCAGCACAGTGGAAGGACCGGGGACGGTCTTGGCAACGCCGCCAAGAGAATTACGATGTTATGAAATCATGTAGCCGAAAGAGATTATGCAGGAAAGAAAGAGGACATTAGATCCATGGGTGCCCTGTCTACCTGAAAGATCGTAGAGATAGTAAGGTCAAGTTGTATGACTCTATTTCAGGCACATCCACTATCTTACTCTATTAAGTCTCTATTCATAGATTCTTAATACATGATGCGATAGTCAGATTTTGATGTTTTGCAGAATCTAAGAAAAAGAAGGAAGCTTAAGAAGAGTGAACCGAATCATCATCGTGAGAGATGGATTTCGATCACATGGTTTGAGGATCATATTTTTGAGCTGCTGCTGAGTTATGATAGATTAATAGATTTCTTAGGAATGTCTACAAAAATAGTTTTTATATTTGCATTGAAAGGACAAATTTTTCTGCATTTTATCAATAAGGAGAATTTTTATTACTTTATATTTCTTGCAATGACATTTATGAAAATTCGTGATGATATTTCTATTATTAGCAATGTTAAATATGGATTTGATTCTTAGTTATGTCATTTATGGAAATGTCATAATCAACCAAGTGAAAATGAATTCTCATCACCCAAGTTTTAGTTGAATAGAAACTTGGAGTCATACAATTTGAATTGTGTGATGTATGAGAACCTTGATCATTGGAAGATCATGACTAATTCATTGATCATATGTTTATGTGAATCAAGTGAAGGACTAAACGATCTAGTACACATGGATGTGGACTATTTAGATCCACCATAAAGGAAATAAGTCTATTCGTCATGATTTACTGACAATTCAGTAAATATGGTTATGCTTATAAGATTAATTGTAATTCTGATTCTTTGAAAAGTTTCAAAGAGTATCAGAACGAATATGAAAAATCTATTAG